TAAATTTTAAAAAAAAAACTTCATAAAGAAAAAAAACACACTTCATATATTATTTTTCTGTGTATTATATCTCCATTATTGCTATGGAATAGTTCCAACATATGAAGCAGAGCAGAAATGTCCCTTTTGGTTTGTATGGCTACCAATCTTTATGGAAACTGACTCTATAATCTTCTCCCCCTCTTTGCTGGGACTGGTGGATTCAAACTACTGACTTTTCAATTAGCTTTCTAGTGCGCCACCAGACAGGCAGTTTCCTCCCATGTGATTTACTGTCTCTGAAAACCTAGTGGAGAATCAACTACCAGTGGGTCTCTACTCCATGGTACCTACCAACAACTCTTAGTTTTAGTGCAAGTCCATAAAGAGTTATGCTTCTAACCTAAAGGTAACCATTTCAAATCCACCAGTAGCTCTGAGGGTGAAAGAGAAGCAATCTCCTCCTAAGTAATTTACAATCTCTGCAAACCCTTTGGAGAGTCAGCTATAAATTGATTGTGACTCGAGACAATGACTTGTTGAGTTCTTAGTCATTTAAAAGAGTGCTCAACTTGCCTCTTTTTTTAAAATCAAAAGAAGACAGCAAAATGATTCTGTAAAATATTGTCATGATGGATACATGAAACTATGTATTTATCTAAACCCAGAATACTGTACAACACAGAGTGAACCCTAATGTAAATGAGGAATTTAGTTAGGAGTGTAGCTATCAGTTCATCAAATGTAACTAACAAAAGATGCTACTATGAGGCAGAACTCTGTCCAGGGGAGAAAGAAGATATGTGAGGATTTCTATGCTTTCTGCAAAATATTTCTATACACCAAAAAACAAACAAACAAAAATCCAAAGAACCTGCTTAAATAACAGTTGTTGTTGTTGTTGTTGTTGTTGTTGTTGTTATGTGCCATCGAGTCCTTTGCAGCTCATAGCAACCCTATGTACAACAGCCCTAAACCATGCTCTATCCTGTGCCAATCTCATTGCCTCTAACACACCCATCCCGATTACCCCAGTCACTGAATCAATCCACCTCATAGGGGGTCTTCCCCTCCTGCGCTGTCCCTCTACTCTACCCAGCATGATGTCCCTCTCTAAAGACCTGTCTCTCCTTGCAACATGTCCAAAGTATGTCAGACGAAGCCCCAGAATCCTTGCCTCCAAGGAGCAGCCTGGTTTAACCCTCTCTAGGATGAATCTGTTTGGTTTTTTGGCAGTCCATGGTACATTCAATACTCTTCTCTAGCACCACAGCTCAAAGGTGTCAATTCTCCTTCTATCCTCCCTAGTCATTGTCCAACTCTCTGACGCTTAACAAGTGATTGCAAAACAATTAGCATATCTTTTTTGCCTTTGTACTTATATAGCCCACCAAGGCAACTTGAAAAATGCTAGCAAAAGATCCATTCGCTGGGATCTGATCTGCCTAATCACTTAGCTCTCCCCATCACTTACAAGCAGTGAGAGCCTATGGAAGTCACCTTGCCTAGTGTACTATAACTTATTTGTCTGTAAATAGAGGGGGAGAGAAACTCTTCCATCCCACAGAGTGATTAGGAGGATTAGCCTGAATTAAGTAAGGTCAAGCAACTGTTATTCTGGACACAGTTGAATGCTGAACAAAAATAAATAAATATCATTTTTCAGCAATCCTTACCTTATCATTGTGAGATAAAGATGAGACATAATGAGCTCTGGAGTTTGCTTATCAGGATTCTAACATACTTCTGGAGAAAGTAGTGTTGTAAGATGCTAACATGGTGCTTTCCTGCCAACAAAAATTGGAAGATGAATTTCAAACTTGGAAGATAGTGAATTCCGAAGACACACTAGAACAGAACAAGAATTTTACTCATCAGTGATAATAATAATAGTAGGCATAATAAAGCTGTTAAATTCAAGGGGCTACTAGCATTTTATTGTTATGTGTCTTCAAGTCCATTATAACCCACAGTAACCCTATAAACAGTAGCTCTGAATCTTGCCCTAACCTGAGCCAACCTCATCACCTCTGACACAGTTGACTCCACTGCCACTGTAACTGTGTCAGTTCATATTATCGAAGACCTTCGTTTCTTGCACTAATCCGTTACCCTTCCAAACATGATGTCCTTCTCCAAGGACTGGTCCTTCCTGGCCACATGTGAGATGGCGGTTCAAAATCCTTTCCTCCAAGGAGCAATGTTCTTTGGTCTCTTAGCAGTCCCTGATATGTTCAATACTCTTTTTTTATCTTCTTCATCTCAAAGGCATTGATCCTTCTGTCGTCTTTATTCATTGTCCAGCTCTCAGATGCACGGCAAACAAATGAGAAGACCATGGCCTGGATCAGGTCCATTTTAGTCTCTCGACTGGCATCATTGCTTTTTAGCACTTTGGAGAGATTTTTATTTCCTAACTGCTGGTGCCACATTTGTGGTTCCAAGCAGGATCAATCGCTAACATTTTTGAATTTTTTTTTTCATATCTTTTTATCACCTACATTTAAGATATATTAAAAAAGAAATATTACACAGCTTCACATTCTGGCTCAAACGATATGGCTCACCCACTGCCAATACTTTTATTGGTTAGATATTCTTTCTGTAACTCCGCTCAAACGAAGTTATTTTGCTTTCTCTCTAAGGCAATTTCTCTCTGACACTTATTTTCATGTTGCTTGCTCCCTCTGTATGCAGCAGTTAACTGCTCTCTGAAATATCAGATAACAGGTCATCAATTCCTTCTCAGTTCATTTTTTTAGAATCGAAAATAGAAATATACAAATGTAGTTTACTAGAGCTGCAAACGGGCATAATGATTCAGAGAAAACAACATGACAAGAATTCCATCTTGGGCTTTTAAAAACAAGTAAAGCCTGGGTTGTTTTGGTTTGTTTTTTTTTCCAATTAATACATATGCAAGTAGTTGTGGGGAAAAGCGTGTCAAACTAAAGACGTTAGTCTGATTGGTGGAAACTTGGTCTCAGGATATAGCCAATAGGAAAAAGATTCCAATATTCTTCATTTGCATGTAGCCCTCAAGACTGGACGAATCAGTGATTTTAAAATTAAGTCTCATTTGCATACAAGCGTCTACAAATAAGCAGGCTTTTGGAGCCGTGTCCTCACTTCCATTTACCAAGTGTTGAAAAGCTGCTAAAATGCCTGAACCTGCGAAATCCGCCCCGGCCCCGAAGAAGGGTTCCAAGAAGGCAGTCACCAAGGCGCAGAAGAAGGACGGCAAAAAGCGCAAGCGCAGCCGTAAGGAGAGCTACTCCGTGTACGTGTACAAGGTGCTGAAGCAGGTCCACCCCGACACTGGAATCTCCTCTAAAGCCATGGGCATCATGAACTCCTTCGTCAACGACATCTTCGAGCGCATCGCCGGCGAGGCGTCCCGCCTGGCGCATTACAACAAGCGTTCCACCATCACGTCGCGGGAGATCCAGACGGCCGTGCGCCTGCTGCTGCCTGGGGAGCTGGCGAAGCACGCCGTGTCTGAGGGCACTAAGGCCGTCACTAAATACACCAGCTCTAAGTGAGCAGTTCTTACTGCTTAATCAACCCAAAGGCTCTTTTAAGAGCCACCCACGTTTTCACAATGAGAGCATACACTTTTTCCAAGAGACTTCAACTTGTTTGTACTGATAAGTTTGGCGATTCAGCAATCCTACGTACAACAGCCTAAACGCTGCTCTATGCTGCGCCGATTTTCCTGTCTGACACACTTAACCCACTCACTGGAACAATCCTTTTCATCCAGGGTCTTCATCTGTACAGGACAAACCTTTCCCTCTAGCAGTCTAGTTCAACCTTAATAGGAAGCAATCATTAACCTAGCTGAAAATCCTTGGAGCTGCTGGAATGCTCTTCTATCTGTGGTCGAGCTTTTTTCTTCCTGTTGTTAATCTCAACCCCATGTTCTTTTATGTCTGCCTTAATTGCTGTCCACCTATGCCCCTTCCTAGCTCAGTGTATATAGGGCTTTTAAGACCTAAGGTAAAACAAGGAATTTTAGAGCATTTTAAGGTTTTGGGGTTTTTTTGAGGGGGGTGTTCGGGACTAGCAACAATAGAACAATATAACCTCTGGGAATTCTCAGCTAATTTTAAAAACAAAGTTAGAAATAAAGGACTGGTCCTCACCTAATCCTCTAGCCCAGTTTGTCTTGCTTTTTATGTTTCCTATCCTAAAATTGCCAAGTTGATTCTTACTCTAGATGCCCTTAGTGGGTTTGAGTAGAATTTTGTTGAGAGACGTTTTATGACCTGTTTATGATCATATTGACTGAAGAACAGTAATGTACGTTTTTAAAACTAAGGTACCCTTGATTGATATGGTATTTTCAATCACTATGCATCCTAAAGCTGGACAGTGAAAACGGATGACAGAATTGATGCCTTTTAAAGTTTTGGAGAAGAGAATTGAATATTCCATGAACTATCAAAAGAACAGAAAGGTGTTGGGAGAGTGGTACAGCCAGAATGCTCTCCTTGGAAGCATGGATGACAAAACTGCTTTTTACATACTTTGGGAATATTGCTTATGAGATGTTATTTCTTGGAAAGGGACATCATGCTTGGAAAGGTCATCAAAAGAGAGGAAGAAGACTCATTAGACAAGATGGATTGACACAGTAACTGGAATTGGACTCGAGTTTATGAAATAAAGATCCACAGGATAAGACAAAATGCATCTGTTGTTCATAGGGTCACTGGGTCGGTCATACTCAAAGGCAACGTACATGTTCTGGGAAATAGATTATCACATCTTTATTAAGATGCCTTTTTTTTTTCACGGCTAAAAGCTGTGGGTCTACATGCAAAAGGTTCTTTGTGCACATTGGGTCAAAACGATTTCTAATTAACCTGAATGTAATAAAAGGCAAGGTTTGGTGTTTCTCCCATGGAAGTTGATCTGGTTAAAAGAATGAAACACTTGGGGCGTTTAGGTCTGGTTTAGAGATCTAGGAGATAACTTTCATGACTTTTCACATTGAAGAGAATTTAGCAACAGAAATACCAGGAAATATTGCCTCCACATAGGTAGTCATCCTTTCTAGCCTTGCCTTTAGTGTTTTAAAGTGAAAAGAGTTAGAAAACTATCAACCTACGTATCAGTAACTCCTGAAGATAGTTCACACAATTCATTGTAGGGACACCAGACACATCCTGACAATTTATTACAACTTTTTAGCACTAAATATTTTAACACTTGGAGCAAAAGTAAAGGATTCAATGTGGGTTTGAAAAACAGCCCGACAGGGTTAATAAGACTATAGGAGACCAAATAGTCAATAAAAATCCTAGGATATACTGCAAACTTTGTATACAACTCTGCAAAGCTTCTCAAACACAAAACCTTATTGGTTTTAGGAGTCCCTCTGCCAAGTTGTTAAAATTAGCTGGGTCCCCTTTAACAGAAACATAATCAAGACGTTTATTTTCTAATAGCTATCATGCTCAAGCCGAGTCTATTTAACGCAGGTTTGAACGGTGTACAACTCTTTTAAGTGAGAGGTGGATGGCCCTGAAAAGGGCCTTTTGTTTTCTTTGAGACTGAACATCCTTTAGCCTCCAAAGCCGTAGAGAGTGCGTCCCTGGCGCTTGAGCGCATAAACCACATCCATAGCGGTTACGGTCTTACGCTTGGCGTGCTCAGTGTAAGTGACAGCGTCCCGGATCACGTTCTCCAAGAACACTTTTAGAACCCCGCGCGTTTCCTCATAGATGAGGCCAGAGATTCGCTTTACTCCGCCACGCCGAGCCAGACGACGGATGGCAGGCTTAGTAATACCCTGGATGTTGTCACGGAGTACTTTCCGATGACGCTTAGCGCCACCCTTCCCAAGTCCCTTCCCGCCTTTGCCTCTTCCAGACATACCAAACAAGTACAACTAGCCTTACAGCTAACTGCCTCAAAGGCTGCAAAGCAATCATTTTATAGTAACGTTACGGACCTGATTGAAAACCGAAAGAGGGGCGGAAACCACCCTACTGAGCTTCTGTCCCTTGAAAAGCAGCAAACCAATAGGAATAAGCAGTGGCGCCTAAGGGGTGGGGCTTAGAAATACTTTACTGGAAAATTTAAGGATATGAATCCACTCAGGTCCTTCAGAGCACAAAAAGTCCTGGCGATGTGTCACCGAAATTCGAATTGCTTTGACGACCCTATGTAGTTATGGTGCCCCCATGAATTTGAGTTAAATCGACTGGGTGGCAATTGACAATATTGCCGATGATGGTAGTTGTGTACCGTAAAATCGTAACCGACCCACAGCCGACCCTCTCGGGGAGGGTTGTCTGAGGCAGTTAATCACAAAGGAGGGGATTGCTCATCCTTCCCCAGTGGAGCAGCTGGTGGTCTTGAATCACGAACCCTCAGGATTGCAGCTTGCCAATAAGTCACCAGAGCTCCCTGGACATACAATACCTGTGACCACCGGCTGGTTTTTTTCCAGTACATTCGTTATTCTGTACCAATCCTCTGATTTGTTCCCCACCTCCAAATCAGACGGTTTCTGCAAAGACGTCCCGCATTTTTTTTATGTTGTCAAAGTGTGAAATAATCCATTGTGTTGTTCTACAACCACTATTCCAAATACAGTGTTAATAAATTTTGTGATTACAAATTATAAGATTAAATTTATTAAATTATGAATGAGTAATTAATTCATATTTGTAGATACAAATATAATATAGATCACTGGGAAAGGAGTATGAGTTGATTATTAATCATGGACATTCTATTCATATCAAGCATTCTGTCTCTGGTTGCTTACTATTTCTTGGCACTAGGGTGCGTACAACCAAGACATAACAATAACCTGCTGCATTCTGGTTCTGAGACCTCAGTCACGCTGTTCTAAGCAGTATTTTGAAAAGACACATGATAAAGCCAGTATTAAACTAATTGCTGTTGTTGTTGTGTGCCTTCAAGTGGGAACCAACTCAGTGGTGACCTTCCAGCAGGTTTTTGGAGAAGTAAAGTGCAGGGGAAGACAGTGTCTTTCACCCACGAAGCAGTTTGTGAATTCTTAGTATAAAGCAACAACAGCTGGTGGATTCAAACCATGTGCCCTTGGGATTGTAGTGCAGTTTCTTACCACTAGGCCACTATTATACCTTAGAGTCTCCGAAAACCAGCTAGACAATCAGCTATGAGGCGGTTCCTAGCTTATGGTAAGGAACCAGTGAGGGAGCAATATAAGACATTAAGTATTGCGATGCTGTCTTATAGGGTTTCCAAGATTATGTTTCGCTGCTAACTCAAAATTCAGTGACCCTAATCCACCAGTTATTCTATGGGAGGGGCAGCCTCCGCCCACAAAAGTTTGCAGCTCTGCGTGATAGATTGCCTTGAGGCAGAATAGAAACATGGTAGATTTAGACTATGTCATTATGACTGTTATCATTTTTTCTAAAGTGATTTATGAGATTATTGTTTCAAAGTTCAAGGAACCCTGGTGACATGGTGCCGTTTGTGTTGCCTTTTCATGCTAAATAGTTCACCAGCCACTCTTTCAGAGAAAGATGAACTGTGTACTTCTGTAAGAGTCTATATGAGACAGGATCAACTGGGAAGGCATTTTAATTTGTTGCAATCAGTCTTTGACAACTTAAAGATCTGAGTGAACATTGATCCCCAACAGCAAATACCAACTAGCTTCCTGTGGGTACTTGATAGTAATTTTCTACACTAGCCTGAAAGAAGACTCCTTGTTTGATTATAGATTGATGAGTAAAGTTTCACACAACTAATTCAGGTATTGATAGTGGTCATTAGGAAAAAAATCTATTCACAGGATCCAGAAGTTCTGGAAATGAGTGTAACAAGAAACTGCATGTTTATATTCATAGAATCCACCCTACAAGGCCACAAGCACAGGGATTGATAGTAGCATCACACTGAAGATAGTAATATCTCAAAATATCATTGAAATGTATCATCTTTATTTAAATTATTTTTAAGCATTCATAGAGATCTTGTTATTGATGCATTAGTTTAAAAAACACTTGAGTTAATATTTGTCAAATTTGGATATTTTATAATCTGATAATAGTACCTTAAATGAAATTTTAAAAATGCAATTGGTAATGGTGTATTAGCTCTGTGCGGTACGTGTAAGCACTCTATTAATAGCCAAATGGTTGTTGGTTCAGCTTTTTCAGAAGCATTTCTAAGGACTGGCATAACGATCTGCTTTCAAAGCCTTAGAAACAGAGTGCAACGGAATCTGCACACATAACTCAGAATCTACTATAAGGCGGGTAACAGCAAATGATATATCCATATACTTTACTTCCTTTGTAATACTTTATCTTAGCCGCTTAGAAATTTTGTTGTGTAAAGTGTCTCATAAGCTCCTGCAGACATCCAAAGAGGTCCATTGCCTAAAATAAGTAAGAATACTATTCCAAAAGACCCTGAAAATTTTGAAAGACTGAATTTCATAAATGTGCATAGAGGAATTTGGGGTAGAATAGAGCCTTACATGTTATGTTGCTGCTCCAAAAAGTCACTGTTCAAGCCAGTAGCTGCTTTGTAGAAAATTTAGATTTCAACCTCTGATGGCATTAGGTTTGGACTTTTTAGTTTTATGAAATTTTGTCCTTTGAAGTCACTCTTGTGCATATATATATATA